AAAATTAGTTAATTTGACACCTAAAGGTGACTATGGCCGTTATTTTCAATCAAAAAAATAAATATATAAATAAAATGTATGTATAATATGTGTGTTAATCGTAAACTTCGAATGTTATTACGATATTGTACTAACTTGTTTTTGTGTTTTACCACAATAACGTATTGTTCTAATTTTTTTAATATTATGTTCTGATTGTACGTAATTTGTGTGCACCATCGAGATGCAGCTTGTGGTTTCCTGAAATTATTGTGAAATTTATTTCAATAAATTCTATCCCGTGTAGACGACATAATCAAATCGAAATAATTACATGCGAGAAGGAACAAAGTCCGTTGTTCATGACAAGGCGCAGCTCGTTCAGAATCGACTAATCGCGCATTGTACGCCGTTCGACATTTTCATTGTTTATTATACAAACTGCCACCCGCAACCACATCAAACCTTCGTCTGAAATGTTAATATCACAAACTCTTCGAGCTACACCTCGCTGACCACATTAAAAGTGACGTTCGCTCACATACAGGTGCAAAAGCACCCCGGCGGAGCTATGTGGTGTTCTATACTTTAGACAGTCATTGATATATATTGATTAAGAGTAACGTCTGTGTGCACAAACAATCCACAGCCAAGTCTGTATATCGCGCCCGTGGTTATCGACGACGTTAAAATAAATATATTTTAACATGACAAGTTACCCAATATATATAGGTATAGAGCCCAAAAATCAAATAGTGGTGAAATTACACATTAATCTTTTGTTATTTAACGCCACCACTGCGGCATGTACAAAGAGAGTCCCGCTTATACATAAATTTCGGCAGGAATGTGTTTGTAGCCGTCATAATATCATATTATCGTATGTGACGACGTAATTGGGAGGAGGACAAAGGTATAGCATAGCAGAAATGTTTAAATCTTCTAAAATAAAGATAGTACGTGTATAAGATAAAAATATTTTTCTCCACAAGTTATTGCGCAACGATGTAAATTTATTTCGTGCCTTTTTTTATATTACAAAACATGTTTATCGCATTATCTGAGTTATAAAAATAACCCAATACCTAATAATATTATTTCGTAAATTATGATTACAGGGACTATCGTCACATTATTTTTTTTTTTTTTTTTTTTTTTTTAAACATTATAGACTTTTATCATCTCTTTTTAATGAACATAACGTACTCAATATTATTCAAATGATATTGATAGGTATCTAAAATTTGTTTTAACTTTTTTGAGATTTGTATAAAAACAAACAACTATGTTATGGTTTCGAGACAAATCATTTATTTTTTATCTAAATAACGATATATTTTTGTTAAGATTTTTTTTAAGCTATCATCCTTTTGCGGCCATTTTTTTTTCTGACAATAAAATGAACCAGTGACGGTTAATTAAGATCTAATTGATCTGAGCTTAATTTTATCGGTTTAGGTTTTTATACTTTTTTAACAATAATTGCGTTGACCTATTTTTATTTAACCTAGCCTTGGGAATATACTTATTTTTAAATTATATTTTTACCGAACCGTTTTGACTTTACAATAAGGAATATAGTGTACGTAGCAAATTTTTATAATAGCCGAATTTCATGTTTTACTTTACCGGTGTTTTTAAAATATACATTTTTATTCTTTTATATGAAATCTTTTTTTGAACATTTTTAAACATTTTATAAAACACAAATACCAGCCTATTTTTTTTTTTTTAAATTAGCCAATCAAGGCCCTTTAACTGTTATGCCTTACAGTTGTAATAAAAACATTTAAATATATTTTTTTCATAAAAAATTGACTTATTTTATCAATAATTATTGTAAAAATTATAACTTATTAGTTATTTATTATCGTTGTACAACAACAATTCAACAATTAGAATAAAATTCAATAACGACAGAAATAAAACAATGATTGAAACTAATGTTAATTTTAATGATTTTAGATTATTTTTCATAAATATTTTTTTAAGCTTGAGGTATTTATTACAGTTATGATCATAAAAAATTAAGAATTTTAATTTTAACTATTTATAACCGTTTTCCCGAAAACTCTGAACCAAAAATAAACTAGTAGATTATGACAAATCTGAATTGGACAAAAAATAACTACATGTATGAACTCCACCATAGTCCATATAGGCAATAAAAATATAAAATTGTAATTTCGATAAATATAATATTCATTTTTCATTGATTTAACGAAATCTCTCAACAACCCATTAATATACAAATTTATACATCATAATATCATTCTATTAAAAGTATTTATATGTTGAGGAATCATATCATTCATATCACTAATAACTCTTGCTCGATATTTTCAAATTCATAAAATAAATTCCGTACAAACGTTGTCGTGGAGAAGTATGAAATTTCCGATATTCGCATATAGTAGGAAATCTATGAAAATATTAGTGACTTACCTGCTGGCTGCTTTACAAGATCAGAAGACTTAAACCGGAAACACGAAACGCCTATCGTTTGACCGAAAGTGATAATGATTAATGAAAGCTCATTCAGAACTCGTTTCATTGCACTGCAACAGCACAATAATAATTAATAATATGTTACACACAAAATTCTAGATGTGAATCTCAATCGCTGACCAAACGATTTTGCACCGACACATTATTTACGAGTAATGTATCTATAACTTATTGTTATACAATGACGAAACAAGTCTTGAACACCTCTGGCTCAATGATACAAGTAACCCGTTATCCGAGGATAAACCACTACGTCAAAGTAGGATTCACAAAATCACTTACCTATAAATATATTATTCACTAAATGTTTCTTTTATGGATAGACAGTTTCATAAACATCATCGATCGTTATTTTAAAATTGGAATTTATTGTATTTATAATTTACATACTAAATATGTAATATTGGTCTATAAGTTTGGGAAATCTGAGGATAACTTTCAAATAATTACATATAAAGCACTGTAAGACTTTATTATTATGTTTATTATACGAGTATTATTAGTGCTTAATTATTAAATAATATTATATTAACGTACATTATGTGTTATATTACTCAAATGTAATAACATTTTTTTGTAAATACTATAAAACATTAAAAATAGATTTATAATATAAATAGATAATATCTTAAAAAAAAATCAAATATGTCATTGCGTATAATAAAATTCATAATTATATAATTTTAGGTAAAAGTTTTAAGTTTTTGATTTATAACAAAAAAATTATTCAAATTTTAACTTTCCAGTGTCTATAGAAAATCATTGTCTTTGTATAACATATATTTTAGATTTTTAATTCTTGTTGAGATACCTATACTTAAAACCTTATAATTTTTTTTTTTTAATATTAGGAAATTATCAAAAAATTATTTAGAGAAAATGTTGAATTTTTACGGTTATTTGCTTTCAAGTTATACAAAAAAAAAATCAATTTTATAAAAAATTAAGTTTGCTTAAAAATTACCATTTTTCCTCAATTTTTTTGTTTTTTCTTCAAATAATTTTGGAAAATACTTATAATACTGAATTTTGACTTCTCTAAAGTAGAAACTGGATTTAATTGTCTTAAAAAAATCAACCTTAAAGTTTAAAATCAAACCATTTTTTTGATTACACACACAAAAATACACATATCATTCACATCATTGTAAAATCAATACATTTATCGCTCCGCTTGGATCTAAATGCAATTAATGCAAACAGGGTGCTTCTCAAATTGCTTGAAATAATTATGTTTTTTTTTTAAATATGGCCTTTAATCTAAATTATATTTAATTAAAAATTTGAATAAATTTATTATTTAAGGAAAAATTATGTTTGAGCAATGCTCAATGAGCATACTTGGTGAATCACTTTATGCGTCGTAGTTTATTTATATGCAGCTGCTATGTGCAAGTATGCTGTATCATATTGTTATTCGCGGCGCATCCAATCTGAAAACGTCCCTACTTAGTCGATATTTCTAAAGAATACAAAAGAATGTTAGGTAATGATTATTGCAAGTGTCTCTATCAAGCAGCACGCATGCCGAATAACTCCATAACGTATCACTGTAAATAAATAGTTTATAATTATTTGTAGTTATTAAATTGATTATTTTTATAAGTACCTAAACCGATTAGCCAATTTCATTATACACCATTTATATATAGTATAATTATACATTATATATTTATATAGGTACTGTTAGTTATTATAAAATAAATGTAAAATATAAAATATTATAATCGAAATACTAACTCATAGTGTCCAATTAAAAATTTCCGAAATAATATATTATACGATTAAACAATCAGATCTTATCCATTGGTAATTTAAAATAATATCATAATTGTTGTGCTTATTAAAGGTTCAATATATATATAAATACCTAAATACATATTTAACATTAACCTAACGACCAGAGAACCTATTTGATTTCGTGTATTTACGTTTGAAAATCATCCCTTTATTTTGTTGTTAATAATTTAATAGAAATTTAGTCAAAAATATAATTTAAAAAAATTGATTATATAGTTTAAATTCGTTGGAGGCATTCATATTAATATTGTCTATTTCAGTTATATGCATGAACACTCAATTTACTGGTTACAAATTATGGGTAATATCAATAGTTTTTTACAAATAGAAATTAACACATATTTTTTTCTTTCAATTGTTATAAAGATTTATTTAAAACATAACTATAAATTTAAACTTACAATTCTAGTATCGTATATGTTCTATACAGTTGTTGATATAATACTCGTTTTAAGTGTAATATGTATAATGTGTTACAAGCGCCTACAATTTTTTTTTTTTACTCTCAGAACACATACGTCATTATTTCCTATAGGTAATAGTAAATATTTATAATAAAATATTAGCATTGTCAAATGGATAAACATACATAACATATTGGAATAACTTGATGGATTTTAAAATATTTAAAATACTTTATCCTCCATTCTTCAACTTTTAATAATAGTAAATAATAATTATCAAATCATAAGATGTTCAAACAAAACCCTTATTGTTAATTATTGAAATTAAATGTATCAGTATTTATTACAAATATTTCTAAATCAGATTTCTTGTTGGAATACGAATCAATTATCATAACTTTAAATTTATCACTTAAATGTAGTCTTTCTTTACTGTTAGAATCATTGTATATATTAGATTGTTTCAAATCTTCCTTCTTTTGATTACTAATAGTAGTTGTTTGTATTTTAATGTCTATCGACGTTTGTATCTCTGAACTATTATTAGTTACATTACTCTCAGGACTAGATTCTTTTACTTTAGTAACCATCGAATTTTCAAGTATTGGTTCTGTGAACATCGACATGTTTTCGTCCGTATATTTTTCGATATCTGGATATGTTATATTTGTTTTGTTTTTTATATCAGATACGTTTTTGAATACTGGTATTGTCGTCGATATATTAATTTCTTCTGTAGGTTTATTAGTAGTAGAGATTAGTCTATCATTTGACGGATTGGATGCTTTTTGGTCACGCTCATGATCGGGTTTTATGCACTCTATACATATGTCATCATTTGTTATGCGAAGTAAATCCAATACTTGAATATTAGCTGAGAACACGAGAGAACCGTAATTTCCCATTATTCGATTATTGGATTGAGGTTCAAGTTTTTTTGATTTAAAATCAACTGGTATCGCTCCATTGCCTATGCGCTGGACAGCTGGTACATATTCGTAAATGGTTTCTTGTGCTCCACCACACACGCATTCGTCACCAACAAACAATAATGTACCAGGTGGGTATGGTCGAATGGTTTGACGCTTAATAGGGCATTTTGTTTGACAATCATTAGAATCTAATATGATATTTTCGTTTTTTACCTGAAACAATAACGTTTTTATTTTAAGAAAATACAACATAGTCTGTGAAAAAAAAGATTTATAAAATATTTATAGATAGAAATTAAAATAATAAATAACTCTATAACTACTATTTTATTGTTAAAAATATATAAAATATTTAATTTTCATAACTAAAGCTCAAAAATTTAGAATAAAATTAATCATAAATATTTCTTATTTAAAAAAACTAAAAGTGTTACTATCACAAACAATTTTTATTTTAGACTTTTAATAATTTTAAATTCAAATTTTGATAAAATTAGAAACATCTAAATAAAAAATATTAATTTTAGTAAATTATTTCAAATAAATTAGTGAAAAAATGATATTTTTACATATATTATTATATTCTTTTATACGCAATCCCATTTTCAAAATATTATTAGATTATTTGTAAGATATTATATATTTAAACTGTAATACTGAAAGTAAAATAAATTACTATATTTTAATAAGAATTTCGAGAAATATATCATGAAATAAACTTAGTAATATAAGCTAACAGAGGGTCTTCGTCCAAAATCGTTTTTCGCATACAAAATTTATCATTAAATTCAAATTTAACACATCCATTACAGTTATCAACTTAACGATAATATACACTGGACTCTAACTATACAGCATAATAGATAGCTTCTTTTCCAACTCTTAAATATTAAATCACGTTATAAAATAAACATGATAATATTTTTTTTTTCAAAGATATTGATAAATTATCACCTATTGATTTAAAGTTTAAAAACAATCCTTTGATCATTTATGCTATTTTATACACTTAACTAGATAAGTAGGTTTATACCTTCAGTCGTATTTGTTATGATTAATATGCTCTAACCATACATATAAATTATTTTATAATATGATAACCAATATTTTAATAAAATGGAATGTCAATATTTTTAAATATTATTTATAACTTATATAATACATTTTCTCAGGAACACACAAAGATATATTTAGTAGTGTCATTATTTTCTTAAAGAAATAAAAATAAATATTAAATACTTTATAATTTTAAATGCAACCAATAACCAATTCCTAAGTATCTTGTAATTGAATACACAATGTTGGTATACTCATAACTTCTAACTTATAAAAAGTTATAACTAATAGAGTAACTTGCCTATCTGTGCCTATACACTTAACTTTTTCATTTAGAACTGACAACGATATAGGATTCGTTTACATCCCAATACCAGTTATACATTACCTATAATGTTATGATAGATACCCGCAGTTTATACTCTATACAAAAAATCGTCAATACTCGTTCAAAATGACTATTAAATTGATTTTGTAAAATCGACCTTGAATAGATTATTTGCACATTAATATAAATAATATTATTATAAGATATAAAATTATTTACCTAGTTAAGGATTTAATAAAATCTCCTCACGATTTATTATCCAATTTAAAATTGTATACATAAACATTATAAAACATTATTAAATTTTTAATTCAAAAATAAAAATCTGAATATTCATGTTTTTAAATGATCCTTGTTAAATTAAAAATGAATCATTGTCATCATTATATTCTATGTCTATAAATAAGTATATTACAAACCATACTTAATTTGAAACAAAGAAAATTGAAAACATTTTTAAGAACTCTAGTATCAGAATTATTATTCATAATACGTTTTGTAGTATTGTATCATTTAACTAAATGTTATATTCTACCTATTTGGATTATAAATAAAGACAAATTATTTACCAGCATTAATAAAAGGGATTTCTATAGTTAAAATTTAATAATACTCGTAATTATTTTTCCAAATAGTTATTAAAGATATTTAATTTTATTAACTAATTTATTTTGAAACTAATTCGTATTTGTCTGAGAATACCAATAAATTCTATACTTAAAGTTGTCATTCAATGCTTATATTTTATTAATTTCAAAAAAATATATCGTTTAATAATTACCTGTGTAGTAGAAAACACTATGATGAATAACGTTGATAAAATGTTCATCATTTTAAAATTTAAATTAAAAAAAAAAACTTTTCTTTAATTACTATTACGTGTATAGTGTATACTGTTACTTATAAAATATACTAAGTAAAATATTATGTACTCTCAATATTCTGAAGAAGTGTCAATATTTGAAATACTATCTCTATTTATATAAGCAAACTATCTACGTGCCTTTGTAGATAATAGAAATTTAAAATAAATAAAAATTGATCAACCATATTCTATTAGGATTTGGGTGGAAAACGTGACGTGCTCTTTACCTGGACGTGTCGAAGACAATAGAGAATCGTAATTGAAACATCGCCTAATTTCTAAAATATTTATTTTTTTAAATTATATTTCCACTAGTTTTTCGACGATCCATATTCATCTATAAATATCCTTTAGCTAACAATACTGTATGTTAAATCTTACGATAAAAATAATATAACGAAACTCATACAATAAAAACGATTATTCATAATTTATGTAATTAGATACTTAATATCTACACTACTATATTATACGATTAAAAGTTATTTTTTTTTTTTAATTTTTATTATTTATTTATTTGTAAAAGAATTTTAAAAAAGTAACACTGAGGACAATGTAATAATAATATTAAAAAAAAAAATTAGTTTAGTTTTATAAAAATGCTATCTTCATATTTAATATTATTATTATTTTTTTTTTTTTTAATGCTTTTATCGTTTTATAACGCAGATAATATTATGATACCATTATACCAATAAAAAACTAATAAAAAATAAACAAAAATGTTTTGTAATATTGTAATATTTATTACATAATAAGCATCTAGTTATTTATAGAAGAAAAATTCTTTACAGTGTAAAAAAAAAAATTGTCTTGGGACTCATAAAAATTAATTACAAAGAAATAATTATAATAATAATATGTTAACACCGTCTCTTAAAAGTATAGTACAGTCTCATAAAAATAATTTTATTCAATATTTTTCAATTTAATTATTAGAAAAATATTATATTGGATTCACCAGCTAAAACTGCTATAGAATATAGAATATTTTAAAAATCAACAAAACAATCCAGGGTACTGGTATAAATATATAGTTATGTGTCGTTATGTTAACGCGTATATATTTATAGCCTATAGGTATAACAGACATACAGTTTAATTCTGAATAACATTATTCTAGTATTTTTGTCTTCAATTTTTAACCTGTCCTTGAACATTAGCTGTTGAGCCACTATTTAAAATATAATTTAATCACTAAGCTTATTTTATCGATCAGAAAACTAATTAATTCTACTGTTATATAAATAATTCAATGATATTTGGAATCAAAAGTTCAAACCTAAAATTTTGGATGCTTTGAAGTTATTATTTAATTTGACACACATTATAAGTAACTGTTTTTATCATATATTAACGAATATATTACAAAATACAAACATTAATCGTTATAATACATACCCACAAAGAAAATTCGTCAAGTCATGTAATTCTCTTTATTCGAATTTCTCAAAGTAATGCACTTTTTTATATACAAAAACGTATATGGCTTTGTACTGATTTCAATCAAATGTTTTAACACCCGTTTCCAAAAACTCCATAACATTACCTATTTTAAAGATACCATCTTTTGTTTATTTTGTTACATTATGAAATTGAATCACTCATTAATTAAGTAGGTATTACATACATCCGATCATTGTCACATCGTTAGCACGATGGCTCGAAAATCTATCAAAATAGAAATAAATATTTTCGGCAACGATATATTTATCAGGTGCGTAATCAACTTTTAAAACACTAATTTTCAGAAAAATTATTTTCAAGAATTATCAAATTTAATAAAAAGGACAAAGTTATCGTGGTTGTTTTAAGTCTTTATAATATTCTTGTACAGGGAATATTAAAACATTTTGATATTAGCGTTTGTCGTTGAGCTTTGAAAGTACTAAGTTTTCCCCACCATCTACAATAAAAACCAAATCGAAAAAAATCAAACTTTAATCTTTATATTTTATAATAACTGAATAATTAATAACAATCTATATATTTAATAATAAATAAACAAGTACACATGTTCTATTTTAATAACAAATAAAAATAAAATTCTTTTGTAATGGATAATAATATAATGTTACTGTTTTTATTTTATATACAGATATTATATTATATGAAATGATCGTTCGCCGCCAATCTATAATTATTATATCATATGAGTATAAAAATTTATCTTTTTGAATAAGGTATTATTTTTAATTTCCACGTGCCACTATGTGTACATTCATCATCATTACTATTCACAGTTTATAAAAAATATAAAATTTACTATGTCAGATAATAGATTATAATATAGTTTAAAATCTAGCTAACAAATAAGATTTAAATAACTCAAATTGTTTCCCGAACATAAAATAAATAAAATTATTAGCTGAATTCCGGATAAAAATTAATTAATAGAAACAATATAAATTATACTTAAAGATTTTTTCTTCGATTTGTTTAGTAATAGTAATAATAGGTTTATTTTTTTACCTATATTTTTTTATTTATTAGTATTTGGTGCTCAATTTAGTTATTTCATTCCGACCTTCTATATATTACAATACATAATTCACGATATATGAACAAACTTAAAAATCAAGTGAACCAACAGTAAAAATACAATGATTATTTAACTCTCTATACTGAGTAATAAGTTATTAATCCCACATAATTGTGCTACATGTAAAATATTGATCACAAAATATGAAGAAAAAAAATTTAGTAGTTAATAAATAGTTAATAGCTGCTTAATAATAGTTTTATATAAATTTAGTCTAATGTAAAAATTCAGATAAAATTGTATGTTAAATGCCAATATTGATTTAATCAGGATGATGATAATAATTATATAGGTAAACTTTAAGAAAACACGCAAAAATGCGTAGAAAATAAAAATAAACAGTGTGTTTACATTAACATGCAATGTAATTAAAGTGTAACACAACTTATAGAGATAATGATTTTAACTGTTTTTTTTTTTTTTTTTTATCATAGTCATAATTTTTTTAATAAATCAACTCGTGCGTATCTTATTATGTATTAGTACATTGACCTTTTATTCATTGAATCATTGTTATGTAAATATCTTATATTCTTACATAAAAAAAAAAAACATTCATACACAATCAACTGAAGCCATATGTTTGAATGTTTCATAAAAATGTGTTTATACATTAAAATAACCACTTTGCAATGTGGTAAAACAAAACCTTTGGAAATTTTCACTAAACATTAATCTAGGAATATTTCTGTTTAAAAAAAAAAAATGTAAATACTTATCAAATCAAATATATCTACAACTCGGTTTTATTATTATATAATATATAAATCAAGAATTGTTATATAAAAACATATTTTTATCGAGTACTTAATATATATTATGTTAACCCATGCAAAGCATAGAGAATATTTGCACTTCATAACCTATACAACGTAGTATGTACATTAATACGAATATAATTTTATTTCGTAAATAGAATATTTTATTCAAATTTGTTTCGAGATTCAGTTTGTGTAACAAGTTCAGGGTTTTCATGGCGAATAAATAATGCTTTCAGTTCACTACAGTTAACTCCACCTAATTAAAGTATTTATGAAAGATATCATGAATTTTATTTTTCATTCAATAATTGTATTATAAAATCTATTGGCGTTAATACTTTAACTATACATTCGTTTTTTTTAAAAATTTATTTTTATTCATTATTAAAATATAAATGAAAATCGTTTCTTTAATTCCATCAATAATTTTATTGTTTTAATTAAGAGGAATCGAATTCGTTTTTAAAAATTGAATTTGTTAATTATTTTAATTAGCAACAGCATAACTAGTTTATTATTAGAATAAAATAAATTAAATATGAACTTAACAATTTTAAAATTTACAAAATAGACTGCAAATCATAGTAATCGAAAAACTTTTTTCAAGAAAACCACATTACCTAAATATTATTGTCTAAAATAATACTGACTACTGAGTAATAATTGTTTACCTTTCGCATAAAATACACGTGTATAGATAAAACAAACATATTTTCATCACATTACGAACTTTATCAATGATGAATGCTGTCATATTTTTAGGTATCTAATTTCAAATAGATATTCGATACTACTTGAATATTAGTGTAAATGACTATTCTCGAATAGCATATTGTAGTTTGTATTCCATACGCATGGTCTGATAAAATAAAATCAATATTCAAACTCAATTCAATATTTTTAACTAATATTTTATGACATCAATATATCATCATTTTTTTTTTTTTTTATAATAATAATAAAATATGTCAATATTATATCAACTGTTAAGTTTCCACTTTTTCAACTAACAAATATAGCCATTTTTGTTTTATAATGTTAATATGTGATTTATTTAGCTTTTCCTTGATTTGTCTAAGAAATAAATTATATTTTATATTTGATGGATCATATAATTTTTTAGTATAAGTATAGTATACAAAATACTATAAAATAATAAAAGATTTTTTTAATAATTTACTTAATTAGACACAAACGTTGAATATTATTTTATATTAATAGAATTCTATTTAATTTGCAATAACGTAAATCTATTATTTTTTTTTAAACAGAGTATAAAATATTGTTTTAACTGCATATAAGATATTACTCTAAATAATACTGTCCCTAACTTTAAAAAATAATTTTTATTTTATTTCGTAGTAATACAACAAATATACCGAATGTATTGTGAAACAGTAATTATGGTTCCATCTATTTAATATACAAATGTACAAGTATGTAAAGTATAATATGGAAACGCATACTAAAGAACAGCTAAATAAATTACATTTTAATTATTAAACGTGAAAGTTAATTCGATTAATTTTAAAATAATAATAATACTTACAAGTTGTAAATGTATAGTTTGTTCTACTCTAACTACAAACAAATTATTGTAGAATTTAGGCGTTAAAAAAAAAAAACATCCAGTGTATAATTTTTAAAACGACAACTTATATAAAAAATACGTGAAAGTACTGCACGATTC